TCACAAACAATTTTTTTATTCTAATATAGATTCAAGTGGAATGTCGACTATATGTGTGGTGATAATTCATCCCGAAATTAATTTTAATTAAATTAAAAAGTATTTTGGCATTACATACAACAGAAGTATTGTCACATCTCAATTTCTTTATCATAGAAGTCTGTTCATTAGGTGTACCAAAAGTCCATATTCTTTATGCAATTTTTGTACCCAACACATTTTTGTGGGACAAATTGTTGGTCTATTGAAAATGTGATATCTTTCATCACCATAATGGCTCAATATTCTATGAAATCCATGGACACCCTTCAGAACTTGTCAAAACCTCAATTTTCATTTTACCTTTTACATGCCTTTTAAATGTGTTTCCTTTTCAATTTTTAAACACCATATTGTTACTCTTAACAACATCACAAGAGACTTTTAGAATCAATACCATCATATTCTTTGGATGCCATATCACTTAGCATTTTGTTAAACTTTTCCTCTTCATTTTGTCTACGTTCCATATTATTATCTCGACTAAAATTTATACTACAAGTTATCATAAATAACATCATCAATGACATCAATACGAGGATCATACTAATATCATCATCAACCTCATTGTTAAAACCACAATAATTATAAACCTTGCATATATAAATACTTTCAACATTTTGACTTTCAAACTAAGTCTTGAAATCAATCATGATCTTATTTAATATTTCTGCTCCATACCTCAAATTCTGCATAATTTTCATCGTCTCATCTAAATTAATTATTTCTTAAGTATTGAAAATCTTATTAACCTTTTAATTTTTATTAAAGGGTGTATACAATTGTAATAGTAGATACAACATTCTTAATAATGTATATTGATATCTATTTGAATTCCTCATAATAAGCAAATACATTTATCATATTCAATAACTTACCAATTTTTATCTCTCTTATAAATTAGTAGATTATAAAGTAAATTTATTAAAAATGAACCTATTAAAATTGAGAAAATTATATGTATCAAAGTAAATGTTTTTCGCTCTAATAATAGTTGTCTCATCATTATTGATATAAATGCTTGAAGTATGAAATCTATTCATCCGTAGGTACAAACCAAATAATTTTGCAAAGACAAAATACTTTACACATTGTATTAAAACACATAATAACAAAACAATTTCACTAGCTATTACAATATTCTTAAAGCACTTTCTGAATATTTAACAGTGTCTATCACTAGTCTACATACAACCGTAATAATTTCACTTTAAACATGAACATAGTTTGTTGTCATTAATAAACTCAATTTACAATATGCAATATTTTTTGTAGAATAGGATAAATTTGAATAATATTTTTATAATTTATTCTAAATATTTTTATAAAAAAACTAATATACAATTTACTCTTAAAAATATATAAAAATTTGTATTCTTCACTATTGCATAGAAATTTACCTTGCTAGGCCATCTTTCGTGATGAGTAGACAATGGATTTCAATTTTGCATTCCGACAGAGAAAATCTAATGGAAATATGGGGAATCTGATTGACAAAAGGCAAGGTATGCCAAAATCTCTGGATCCGAACTAGGAGACTGTTAATTGTTATTTTTCTCTATCAATTTTTCATTTGCATGTAAATTTCTATTATTTGCAAATGAATCAAAACAATCAATGTACTACCAAGCTATGAGCAACAAACCAGCTAGTCTAATCTGAGCTAGTCTAATCTGTCAACAACTTAGCCGGGAAACATGCGACCGAGAATGTCATTAAGGAGTACAGCATTTCTGCGGGTCTGGGTTGTCTTCCAAACCTTGAAGTCTGGAGGGAAATAGTCAGCATCCCTCCAATGTTTCAGAGACATGAGTGAAAAGGGACCCTGTATATCTCCTTGAGGGTCCATATAATGCCATATCTTGCTCCCTATGTTGTAATCTTGATTCATATTTCCAGCATTCGAGTTTTCCTTTTCATCATCACTTATATCTATCACCACTCTACCAAACAAACCTCCAGAATTATTTTTCTCCTGTCCATTCCAGGCTTCAACTTCCGTTTGGTTATGTTTTGAAATCTTCACTACATGCTGGGTTCCTGTCGGAAGATATCAGAAAATATTTAGGAAAATCATAGGCATTTTGAAAAAAAGCTCCTGTCTTGAGTGCATCAAATACTAATCAAATTGAAATAGTCAGAAGACAATTGACACACAACACTTAACAGCATAAAATCAATGAACCAAATATGTCAAACAGGAAATTACATCTCAACAATCTGTGGTTTTTAAGCTGTCAATGATTCTAGAATCTTAGAAATTACTAGAACTAAAAAAAATCACATGATTCATAATTCCATGGCAGCAACATATTGCAGGCATGTGGTCACTCTAAAGGAGAAGAGAAAGAGACAAAGAAGAAGAAGAAGAAGAAGAAGAAGAAGAATGCAAGAACGTGAAATTGTACCACCAATGCTGATGTTCTTTCCAACAAAGCCTACATGTACGACATTTTCAAACATGAAAAACTGCATTTGCTTATCATTGAATCCTCTTTGACATTATTACACATGTAGAGTTCAAACCAGATAAATTATAACTAATCTTTTTCTTCGACCACATGCACTTTCTCAGGTACACAAATGTCAAAGCACACAACAGAGTGAAAAATAACATACAAAACAAAACAAAAAACCGCAAGATTCATCACTAGGACCAACCAGGCAATTGCGTAACAAATGAACATGAAGAGATAATTCGTAATTGAGAAATATATGCAACTCATGTAAAAGAGGTTAATAGAAACCTGCAGAATTTTCTCCAAATGACACCCATGTTGACAAGGGTTCATCTGCAGATGTCTGGGGCACAGTAATTTTTGAAGCTCCCTGGAAGGATGACATTGGGGAACCATTCTTTCCTTTCTCTATATTATCTGTAAACTCCACAGGAACAGGTTCAAGCTCTAGTTCTTCAGCAACAACCTCTGGAACCTCATACAACAGCCGTGACTGTTCAGCTGGAGTCTCAAGAAACTGCTTTCTCTCCAAGTACTCCAACAGTGTAAAGGATCAAGCAAGTTAAGAATCAAACAACATCTAAGCAGCTTGTTTAATTCTGGTTATCCATAAGAATATAATTGCTCCCACCATAGTCATTAGTTCTATGAAGTTACAGATGGCTTATACGACCAAAAAGTACACCGCTTAAAATACTTTAAGGGACCAAAGACATGAAGCATGGTTCAAGATTTTTAGTATCAAGTGACACACAAGTCAAACTAAAGACAACTCCCTAATGTATAAAAGGATAAAAGGCAACAAGCACGGAAAAATACAGTAAAGTAAGGGAGATAAAACAAGATATTGGCTGCCTTTTCTTTTTCATGAACTAACTGGGTCAGACTAACAAAACTCCATAAGTCAATAAATGACAGCAGAAATATAAGTTGCTCTATCTGATCAGAGAACTAAACTAAAAAGGGCAGCACATATTAGCATGTAGCAGAGAAGTCAACCATGGTACAGAATCAACCAAGGATATTCTTTGCGCCGTCCCTTCTCATTGGCTCGATCGATGAGCCTTTGCAACAATGCAATTTCTCCAGCAAGCCACTGAAAATCACCAAGTGAGAAAGAATTTTACTGTAAGCAGAAATCAATCCATGATTACATCCAGCATATTACAGCACCATGCTGAGCAGGAGAAATGAGAACTGCTATCTTTAATTCAATCCAATTTACAGTTTCTATAATGATCAATTCCTAGTCATGCAAACGTACTTAGTTTTCAGAATTTTAGATCTCGAAATTCCCATGTTTGTCTCTTAACTTGCTCGAGAGACAATTAAGAGAAACATAATGGATTGACAAAAAGAAATGCATATCATGTGGTTTGCCACTTAAACATAATTTGATTACTAAAAGAGAACAATTGGCCTCAATACACAGAGATGACAACCTACAGCACTTACACAAAGATAACAGAACCAAAAGAAAAGGTCAAAAAAAAAAAAGAAAAAGCCTGAATCTCTTTTGTGGACAACCTACTGTTAAAGTACATACATGCTTTGTTACATCCTCATGCAAAGTTTGTGCCTTTTCTTCAAGTTCCACCTATCAAAATGGTTATTAAGCATGTTAAGCAAATTAATCAAAGGGAAAAAGAAAATAAATGAAAGGCAATTGAAACGCCAACTACAAGAAAAATGAAGCTGGTAGAGATGGAGAATGCTGACAACTAATATAAGAAAAAAAGACTTTGAGAAAACATCTTGCGGTGCGATCAAACAAAAATAGGTGTCTCGACAGTGTCCCTAGAGAGCTCCCTCCCCCCTCCCCCCCCCCCCCCCAAAAAAATAATAAATGAAGAAAGGAAAAATATGAAAAAATTTCAAGATCTTGGAGGCTTGGGCACATTTCCATTCCCATGGGTGCATTTAAACACAAGGAATTATCTCAAGAAGGTCCGACCAACTCAGTAGAACTGATAAAGGTTCCTTTAAAGTTCATTTTCACTAGGGAATGAACTGACATCATCTTTTCAGAAAGGATAATACCATGTATTTGACAGACCAGAATTAAAGATATTTCAGATAATGCTAAGGGCCATCTACTAGAAACAAAAGAGAGTTTGTTTGATCAGTCAGACCATCAATTTCCATATTTATAATAAAACATTGTAAAGACACCAGTACTAATGCTTATGGCCTAAGTATGAAACACATAACAGGTTTTATTTAAACTAACATAATATTCATATTCAGGAAAGAAATAAAGAGAGAAGATGGCTGCGTGAACTGATTCCAAGAGAGCATGAAAACACTCACTACAAGCAAGATTTTCTTTTCATGTTCTTTTTGGAGTCTATGACTACTTTGTTGCTTGTTCATTAGAAAGCCATGTCCTTCCTTTCACCTAGAAAGTTGTTGGTGATAGAAAGGAAGACCCTTTCTATGATCTTGGAAGCAGAAATGCAAGATATGTTCTGGTTAACTGAAAATGGTGTAAAAAAGCAGATTTTCTGTATCTTTTTAACTTGGAGATCTTGTTGTCCTCTAGATACCTCTGCCAACTGTTTTGAGTCAAAGGTCATAACTCACGAGTGAGAATCTAGAAGGAAGAGGACAAATGCAATTTAAAACGGCACCACAAGGGTGCAATTCATATAATTATAAAGAGAAAATGGAGCTCTTTGGTTGCTCTCCTTCCAAGTAACCCAACATGTAGAAAGAGGAATAAGATATATAAATTTTCTCTGATACTTGGAGTATGGATACCACTCCATGCCTAGAGTTCATCCTTGATGAAGGCGCTGACAACCCAAGAAAGAATAAGGAGGCTAAGAGTTGATTCCTAAACCTTTCTGGCTATCAAGCACCAAAGAAGGTAGTGCAGGAATTCACATTTCATTGAGGCATTAAAAGCACCCATTCACCAAGATTTTGGCCCTTTTAATAACATTGTCAACAGCTAAAATTCTGTCCCAAGCGGCCCTCCATGAGAAAAAAAGGATCCTCAGGTGGCCTTTGTTTTCCATAGGTACTTCTTGAGGAACTTCTCAGACACAACATTGAGTAAATAATAAAGTTATAATGCAATTTAACCATTAAAAAACCAGCTTTCATGTGTTTCTGAACTGGGTTTTCAGCCTATTTATGGTGAAAACGAGTATACTCAAAATATAAAAGGAAATTCACCCACTCATCAAGCTCCCAGTCACTCAAATCGCAGAGGAGGGGAAATATTTCTATTGGATTCCACCATTATACACTTCAAAACAATCAATACGTTTGCCTCCCTGAATCTAGAAAACAAGAAAATAGATGGAAAAGAATCTTTCACTAGGCTTTTAGTTCACCAAGGATCACGCAAATATCTAATATTTGTTGAACCGTGTTGACCCAAGGACCATGTCCTAATTATTTCCAATTATTCTCCACATACTGTGACCAAGAGCACCTCTAACTAACTTCTATCTATCAATACAAGAGGAAACAATCCCGCCTTTGTTCACTGGCTTAAGTGATGTAAAATAAGAAGATAGTATCTTGGAACAAATTTTCAATTAAAGAAGTTTTTTTGCAATAATAGATATTTTATATTTTTAAAGTATTTAGGCTACTTAGGATTATTTAGCTAAAAGGAATTATAATATCTTAGTTTCCTATTTATGCATATTTAAGAATGATAGGAATTAGAACCTTTTTACTTTCCACAATTATTTAGATTTCTATTTTTATAATTTTTCTTATTATATGTAACTACTACCTACAAAATGACTAGTAGCTACAAACAGAAAGAATAGATGATGATGAATTAAAATTTTTTGCTATGGTTTTATTTTCTGATATCTCTCTCTGTGTTTGCTCTTTTGGTGGTAGTTTTATGTAATTTATCCCATTTATTCTACTCTTCGCTATATTTCTTCAACTTGATCTGGATTTTTCTCAAACTTATCTCCATTCTTCTGCTTCTTAACTGATTTTTTTTTTCTCAATTATCCACAAGAACTTAGTTTAACTGCCAATGGTCCTACATCAAGGAGATATCCTAAGCTCACGATCCTGAATGAAATCCTTTGAAATCTCTTGTGGTCACAGTAATCATATTCTACCGAGCTTCTCTAAAGGATCTCACAAGCATTAAAAATCACCACAAATACACCAAAAAGTTTACACAGACCAGATATGTAAGGAAACTACTTCCAGGAAAAAGACAACATCCTAGCTTTCTCTTTCTATTAACATTTCTTTTTCTATTAAAATAAAACAATAGCTACAAAAATTAAATTTTTTTTTGGGGGAAAAGGAGCCATCACCCATTAAATTAATGAAAGAGCTCACCAGTGTTGGCCTCTCAAGCAACCCCTCCTTTACCCTACTGTTTAAGTCTTCGCACTCTTCCTGCAAAGAACACAGAGCTTGGAAATCTTTTCAAATAGAAACAGAGCTTATAAACCTTACAACATACAACCACAAAATGCATGCAGCTGAAGTGAGAAATCATTGTTAAAGGAGCCAGTAACCTGGAAAAATAAAAATATTTAGCCCACAACAGAGAAGCTACACAAATCTCTAACTCCCTCTAAGAAAAAGATATATGCACTTTTGTTTCGCTTTCAAGATCTTTATACAATTTTTAAATTCTTTTCCCTTACTAATAAAGATCAAAAAAGGCATCTCTTCAAAATTTGTCCATAACTGTTAATTGATAAGGACTCAAGTTTGAGTATCTAGAAACAAACCTGAGAGAAGTCCTCGTCTGAAAGCATAGAAATGGAAACATCTTTTATAAAATTTGAAACTTGAAGAAGAATGTCATTAGTTCCTGGGACCTTTTTAACACCTGGAGAAAAGATGATACAATCACCATAAGTACTGAAAATGATCGAGACATATTACCCAATATAAAATAAAGATGCTTTTAAGAAGAAAAAAGAATAACATGAATATAGATAAACCATATAACAAAGAAGTAAAAGAATCACACATCAATAGCAGGTTGATTACATAAGTCAAGAGAAATTTTCAGGATGCTGGTCGGAAAATAGCACTCGAAACTGTAGAGGCTCGACAGTGATATAACTTAGTAATGTCAATAAAACTATAACATGAAACTGTCATAAATTATCAAAGATAAAAGTCTTTGTAACACCTAAAACAGACTCCTTAAGCTTGTTAGTGCACAAGAATGTGGAATCATCAGAGTCAAAATGTCCCTCAGAAATTGATAATCAACCAAGAGATGCTTTTAATACAAATCTTGCGTCATATTTAACTAACTATATTATAAGATTAACAATAAATTTAAAATGATATAATTACATTAAAAATTTTTCTAATGATTTAAATTTTTAAGATGTTTAGAATTATTTGTATAATGTTAAATATTTTTCTTAAATTTTTTTTAACAATTTAAATATTTTACTTTTTATTCAATATAAATACAAATTCTAGATAATAAATTATTTGATTTTACAATGAACTTATTTAAATTATATATAGTAAACAAAATTTTAAATCATAAATTACTGTTATAAATCTATTTTAAAATACTAAATTAACAAATTAGTAAAATAAAAATTTAATAAATTTGCTTATTAAAAATATTATTTGCCTCTAAAAACATAAGTATATTTCATGCTATCTATTTTCAGCTTTAAAAACAGAGTCTGTTTTTCCCCAAAAGCAATTCTGGTTTTCATGTAAGGTTAGACTTCTGCTTTCTAGCAGTAAAAGTAGAAGTTCAGCCCAAAAAATATTTGTCAAATTCTTTTCACTTTTCTAACAATTGCTGTTAATTTTAATCTCCAAATTGTATGACTATGTATATTCATAAAATAAACATACAGGCTGTATAGTCACACACGTAATCTGATTCCCAATAGACCTAGACACGGGATGGCATGTATAGCCACACTGATTCACACTTAATTTGGTTCTCAATACAATAAACACGGCAAGTCATGTATCGACACACTGATTTCGCCCAAACACAGATATGGTGAGGCATATTTACGAATTCCTAGCATAATGTAGGTGGGAATGGACAGCTCTCCCCCATAATAGATTATGCAAACAAATTGAAATCTATATCGAAAACAAATTACATAGTAACACTTACTCCAAAACGAAATTTTTTGATATAATACATGTATAGTAATTTCAAAAATTCGTACCATACTTAAATAGAATAAAATACTTCAAAAATATAATAGTGCCACTTTTCTATAATAATCACTTACCTTAGACGTCAAAAGACTTATTCTAAACATTTCCTTGTTTCTATCGACTTATCTATTGATTTGGGCAGTGTCATGAGTCATTAGTAGAACATGCTTTATAGGTTCTAGAAATACCACAAAATCATATTAAAATTACGCAAGGAAATAAATTCCAACAGAAAATATATAAACATGCATTCGTAATCCAAATATGTTGGAGACTTAGGAGACCTAATTGATAAACTGATTGACTTATAACTACTTTCATACATTGGTTGGCACCCTTTTGGTGCCTATATTAATATCATATTTTTATTTCAAAAGATATATATATATATATATATATATATATATATATAAACAGGTATAAATAGATTGCAGGATGCATACGCATGAAGGCCTATCACCTGTGACTTGAACAAGCATGTAGCGGTTCTTCTGAGAATAATCAAGAGGATCCGACTTGATCCTCGCAAAGCTTCCTATTATTTTAGCTTCAAAGGTGTCCGGTTCTTTAAGAAATTCCTGAACTAAACTCCTCTTGAGATACACAAGCTTTATATTATCTGGAACGACAGATGCAAAAGAGCTTTTGGGAGTTTTCTCAATCTTTTTCTTTTGATTACTTTTTCTCTCTGAAGCCAAACTTCTATGCTGTTCCTCATCGGTACTGGATGAAAAATCATCATCCCCTTCTTGATTCTCAGCGTAGTGAGCCGCCAGCATGTCATAGATATGGATTCTATCAATGATCTTCTTTCCAAAAAGTGAATGGAGCCTGTGGTCGCAAACAATTTTCCTCTTCTTCATCTGCTGCTGAAGGTTGTTCTCCTGAACGTATGTCTTTATACTGTCTTCAACATCATATCGAGAGATCTGCGTGCTTGTATCTTTGCCAATTGATTCCAGGAACTCAATCAGCTGCTTTGAACCCCAACCAAAGAACTCCAGTTTTTTCCCTCGAGCCTTTCTTTTCGAGCTAGCCGGAGTGTATGAGTGATTTTCTGCTGCTTCTGTTTTCTGAACCATGGTAGCAAAATACTGCTTAAATTCAAACCTTACTGATTTTCGCTAATTCATTCCATTAAGCAATGGCAAGCAAACATTTCGCAACACCGCACCTGCATTCTTCTCAATTAAACCCTAAAAATTTTCAAAATCGAATGGTGGATATTAACCGGATCGAACCTACCGTAATAGGTAAGAAAACCAAAAATCGAATCAACCGAATGGATTCTGTTTATTTGGTTAATGACCGAATCACTTGTTTACTCTTAACGCTTACAGAAACTTTAATGCCTCTTTCCATATCGAGACTCTTCAATACCTCTTCAATTTAATTTATCCACTCTTAATGGCTTCTCAATGTTTTACGAGTACAGATGCATCTGAAACGGCATTTGAAATTTGAAATGGCATTGAAGTTGGAAAGCAGAAAGAGAGGAGAGAAAAAGAAAAACAGAATGAGCAGTGCACAAGAGAAGAAAGAGTCGAGTGCTGCATTGCAAGGAAAAAAGAAGTCTGAGGAGTCGACTCAACTGATAGCTTCAGACCGAGTGGAGAAAACGAAGAAAAGAGACGTTAGGTGCATGGTGGTGCCTGGTGTCATGTCGTGTCTTGCGGCGCGTTGGTTTCTGTTGTCCTGTCGTGCCATATGGCGTGGGTCTAGTGCGGAAGATGAGGAAGAAAAGAGGAGGCTGAGTCAATGGGTGAGCTTGAAAACTGGAAAGAAACTTAGAATTTCTTTTCAGTCTTTAATTAATTATATTTGAATTACTATTAAATTATATATAATATTATATTATACATATTAAAATAATCAAGTCGAAGCTGGGATTAAGAGATCTATAAAATTGACACAGTTCAAAAAAAATAAATCTACTTTAGGTTCCAAACAAATTTTAGGTTTACTTTTTATAAAGGTGAATCAAGTTCGAGTTTGATAAAAATCACTCCGAACACGGTTTTGTTACCATCTCTAATCAAAATTAATTGGTTAATAGCATAGTGGAGAACAGGGTCTGCTCTTATAAATGCTTTGATTATGAAATGTGAGAGATATTTTTCTATATACTTGGCTTTTGGTCAACTTACTCTACTTGTGGCATAATCCATACATTCATGCAAAGTAAAATCATCAATTGCCATACTACAGGGACAATAAAAGCAGATACAATACATTTTGCAGTAAAGAAAGTGCTCAATAATAAATGTATGTCTTTATATGTGTTCAACTTTTAATTACTTCAAAATCATTACGATAGTATCACATTTATCTAAATTACTACAATTAAAAAGGATACGGTACAATTTTAAACTAATTGAAAATCAAAGCATAATAACCTTCAAACAAAACATTGTGTAATTGGTGAAAAATATATAATTGATGGTTGAATAGAAGTTCCCAAAGCTTATGACCTCTTGGTTGTGAGTTCATGTCGTTTTGGATTTGTTCATATCGATTGTGGTACCCTTCCTTACTCACATCCTAGTTAACCCACTCTTACAAATTTGTGTTGAAGAATTTGTCCATGAAATTTGTGGGGATGGTTTTTTGTGCCATAATCTGCAAGAAGGTGGTCTAATGGAGTTTGAACCATGAGATTAATCTACTATCCAACATTGTCTTTAACATGTCTATCAGAAAAAGAGAAAGTCAAATATGTTATAAGTATATTATAATAGTTGAGACAGTGAAAATTTTAATTTTATGTATGATCTGAGTCCAGTTTTGCTCATATAGTTGGAGATCACTAATATATTTGATCAGGTTGTATGTTAAGATATATGTAAAACTTATACCTAATACTAAAAACAGTTTTTTATTTGCTTGAAAAGCACTATGAATCACATTGCCCGCATGAGGAAGCTCAACTCCTCTCAGAACATCCATCTGATTAAACATCTTTCAAGAGTTGAATTACCAACAAACATTTTTGAATAAGTTGAAAACAATACCCCCTTTGTTTATATAGATGAGAAAGTAGCTGCATGTCTTGGACATTGATCAAACCTTCGAGCCAACGCCCGGTAATGTAAATACAGGGTTTATCATATATATATTGATTTTTTAAATCTACTAATTAAAACCCACTACTCATATTTAACACATTAGATATCATCATCATTTATGCAAATGCCGCTTTTAAAATCAGGAATAATACCTTGGCTCACATCAAATATTAATTACAAGTAACCAGGAATTCTTCATTTCAACATCCATGAATTTCTCATAAACATACACCAAAAGAGCAACCATCAACCTAGGAGATCAGTAGGATGGTTTCCTTACTGTTGAATTCCCCTGGCTTTGTTTATTTATCGTCATCATCTTCCTCGTGCATGAGGATGAACAAACACCTAAAGAAACTTTTCTGAGAACCCACTTAGCTGATGATATCCAATGTTTTCAACGGCTCCAATGGTTTTAAACAAGCGCCTCTTGTTTATCTCCCCCACCAGTGACTTGTGCAACAACTGGCTCCGCATATCTACAAATGACCGAGTCCTGTTTAGCTTCTGCTGTTGACTTATCCCTCTATAATTACCTCTCCAAGAATCCAACCGTGTATTGCATTGGTTATTATTTGGTGTAGCTGCAGAGCAGAACCTTGTTGACTTGTGCATCTCTGCCATGCCTAGGGCTTCTCCTAATTCCCCCAGACTAAAATCATAATCATCTTCATTACCTGAGTGGAAGTCAGTACCAGAGTACTTGAAAGAGTTCAATGAGCTAGCAGAGCTTGTATTGTCATAGCTAAAAGGATCTTCTGCATTTGTAAGTTCACAGCGTTACTTACATAATCACTAATTCAATCCTCACATTAACCATAAAATGATTTTTATATACCTTGACGCCAGTTGTGACCCGAAATGACATTGTTTCCATCACGAAGCTGGGAACCATAGGAAGGTACTAAACCTGGCAAAGAAGCTTGAGAGGAAGAATTGGAGGAGTTTGAGTAGAAAGGATGGTGGATTCCAGCATCACCATCATCTCCATACTTAAAGCTATGTTGAGGATTATTAACTTCGGATGAGCTCCCTCCTTTCCATGTCGGAACCAGAGAAGATATCTGTTCCTCTATCATCTCAGCAATCTCCAATGGTTCCCAGTCAATAATCTCCAATTCTTTTACCATCTCCAATGCCACATCAATTGCAGTGTCATTCAGAATGTCAAAGGGGAAGTATATGTTTCTAGTATGACCTGTAATACCAGTATTAAAGTATTATATTCACAAAAATACTGTGGCATGGTAAATATGTACCCCTCGCAGGAAAATGGATAATTGATCTGAAAAGGCTAGAAGAGAAACAAGAATTGCTCCATGAAGAAGTGACAAGACATCTACTAAAACTAATGGATTTACAACATATGTCAAGTTGTTTAAAATATGATTAGTCATCAATGTGCATGAATTAAAAGTTTGAATTAGTACCATTATTCTTGTCTGAAATCTGTACTTTGAGAAAAATTGTATCATCCTCTGAATTTATAGTGCCTGTGACTGACATATCTGTGGTTCTTGTTGGATCAACAACTAATGGAGGCAGCTGCTCCAATACAGCTCCTAAAGGTGCTGCCTTTTGACACAGGGGTTGTGAGATGGCTAACAATCCCTCTTTATCACACTGTAGAAAGGGGTCCAGCAACAGGTCATTGGCTGATAACCTCTTTGAAACATTCTCCAAACACTTCCCCACAAAATGCTGAGCCTCTTTATCTTGAATTCGGTAAAATGCTTCTGGCAATTTCCCCTGGTAAATATATTGCAACACAAAATACATTATCACATGATGGGCAACAGTTTTACGCAATCTAGCTAAAAACCAAAGTTTCTAAACCAGGAAGCCAACCGAAGTAACTTTCTTGTATATTTGGGCTGGGTTGGAGCACTCGCTATAGGGATATTCACCAGTAAGCATCTCTAGCATACACATGCCAAACGCGTATACGTCTACAAGCTCATTGTAATTCTCTTCATACAACTCTGGTGCCATAAATTCCGGGGTACCTAATTGTTGTGGAAAGGAACATACATTAGTTGAGGAGTTAACAGATTTCTAATTGCTCAACTACATCAAAAAAATAGGGGGCAGAGTTTGCCTATGACACTGTGTGCATGTTGTGAACCACGAAGCATTGCTGCCAAGCCAAGGTCACCAATTTTGACTTGTCTAAGATGCCCATTGACAAAGATATTATCACACTTGAGGTCTCTATGTATCACTGGAGGGTCATGGCCGTGCATATAAGCTAGACCCTGAAGGATTTGGCGTGCCCAGTTCTTAACTGCTCGAATATCAACTCGCGGGTACTTCTGTCTATAACTGTATCAAGATCAAATGACATATGAAATTATCCCTATGAAATCATAAAATGTTTGAAGGTAGTTAAAAAAGATTAGCTTATGTTTATAAAGATGAGGTTATTACTCTCTAAGAGAGCCAGAGGTGAACATCTCGGTAATGAAGTTGAATGTCCTTCTTTCAACGTCAATCCAAGAAGCATAGAATCGGATGATTGAATCACTGTTGAGATTCTTGAGGAGATGGACTTCAGAGTAAAGCCGCTGCAGTTCCTCTGGTGTACGGAAGGCATTGCTAAGCTTCACCTGATTCCATGCCACTTCCATTCCAAGGACTTCATCAAATGCCTTGTACACTGTTTTTACAGCGCCTTTTCCAAGAACTTCCCTAAACTGGAAATATCATTTAAATAAATTACCTCATCAACACCTTAAACATAAATCCAAATGTTCCTTTTGATGAGTTCAACCAAAACAAACAAGCCTCAACGTAGACACACTCACATACACGTATGTATTAATGAAGCAGGAACCAAAAATATAGCAACTTCACTTGGTTAATGGCTGCAATATAGACTTTTGGTTCACAATTGTCCCATTTAGTCTAATCCCCATTTCTTCCCTAACTAATGTTTATTTCTAAGTTTCACTACAGTTTTGATATAAAATTGCAGAAACATTTTTTTTTATGTTTAGGGTAGAATTTCAAATTCAAGTTTTTACAAGCAGGATATCGGTTCTTAGTATCACCGAACCTGTCAATACATACAAAATCAGAGTAATATGTCAAGGGTTTTTCTTTTTGAGAGTAAAATTAACACAGTCTTCAATCTAGATTAATGATCTCCCTAAACAAGTATAGTTGCTGCCCAAAAAACAAATTGAAAAACAAAAAAATTAAAAAAGAGAGGTAAGCTACAAAATCTGAATATGTCAACAGCTATTTTGTCTTGAGCATCTATAGGCTAAAACGTCTCTTCAGCATACTAGTGGGCCAGAGGGTAATGTGTTCATCAAAAGCCACAAAATATAATTCTCTAATTAGCTCCCAAGAGAGTTGACCAAACCAGAGGTAGCGACTTTTGATTTATAAAATCCATTTAATTTCATTATAAAACTAATCAAACGTCTATTATTGCTAAATGTCAAGATCGCACTACCAATCTCCTTTGTCTGAGTCGGCTGATGTTGCCAAAAGAATTTTCAATTCTGCATAAAATGATATTAAAATGAAAATTTCTTAAATTTTGTCAAGTGAATTCTCTCCCTTCTATCATCTGCAACTGCGCTAAGAGAAACAAGCCAAGTTGATTTAAGAATGCCAAGAAAATAAACAAAAATGGTTTAATCTTGATGGGCAATGAAACTAACAGAGGCAAGAACATATATCAGATTGACATACAAGGACATGCATGCGATTCTTATAAATATTCATGAATAAAAACCCTAATCTGTTTGTCAACAAAACATTACATCAATGATAATAATCACTAGGCAAGAGGAGAATCCAAACAGAATGATTAGACGAATACT